GCAGAAGCGACAGCGAAACCTAGGCCCACTGACCGTGTCAGAGCTCCATGACGCGGAGAAGACCATTCTCCAGATGGTGCAGGCGGAGGCCTACAGGACCGAACTGCAGCAATTACAGGCGGGTCAGCAGCTCAACAAGAAGAGCGGCATCGCCGACCTGTCACCAATCCTGGACGCTGATGGCATCTTACGAGTCGGGGGGCGACTAGGAAATGCCCCACTGGACGAAGACGCTCGCCATCCCATTCTACTCCCAGCAGGTTCTGATGTGGCGAGGATGGTCATCTACGAAACGCACCGTCAGCTCATGCACGCCGGCGCAGAACACACCCTGAACGAAGTTCGCCAGAAATTCTGGATTCCGAGGGGTCGTTCGCAGGTAAAACGAGTCCTTATCGACTGCGCCATCTGTCGCAAGAGAAGGGCGAGACCTCAGCCTCCAAGAATGGCCGATCTTCCCGCTGACCGGTTTAACACCTCCCATCCGTTCAGCTTCGTGGGGATCGACTATTTCGGACCGCTCACAGTCAGGCGGTTCCGAAGGACGGAAAAAAGGTACGGCCTGCTGGTGACGTGTCTGGCCACGCGAGCCATTCATCTGGAAGTGTCCAACAGCCTGGATACTGACAGCTTCCTGATGGCCTTCCGACGGTTCGTGGCACGCCGAGGTCGTCCAAAGAAGGTTTTCTCCGACAACGGAACAAACCTGAAAAGCGGTGAACGTGAACTCCGAGAGGCACTAACACAGTGGAACCAGCAAAAGATCTCTGACGAGCTGAGCCAGCAGCAGATCGAATGGTGTTTCAACCCACCAGCCGCGAGCCACATGGGCGGCATATGGGAAAGAATGATCGGCGCAGTCAAGAGAGCGCTGTCGGTCGTGCTCGGCAGCGAGGTGACAACTGACGAGGTGCTGTCAACTGTCTTCTGCGAAATAGAGAGCATGATCAACAGTAGACCGCTGACACACGTCACAGACGATGTGAGAGACCTGACAGCTCTCACACCGAACCATTATCTCTTGGGGAGGGGAAGCCGTTGTCTTCCCCCTGGAGTCTTCAGCAGCCAGGATCTGCACTCCAAAAAAAAGATGGAGGTACGTTCAAGCACTGACGGACCATCTCTGGCGAAGATGGAAAAGGGAGTACCTCCATACCCTGATCCACAGGAGAAAATGGCAAGCTGACCAACGGAACCTAGCAGTCGGCGACGTGGTGCTGCTAGCAGAATCTGACACGCCCCGAGGTCACTGGCCGCTGGCGCGCGTGCTGCAAGTGTTCCCGGGGCCTGACGGCCGAGTCCGCGCCGTACAGCTCAAGACGGCAGCAGGTGGTACGTATACCCGGCCTGCCACGAAGGTGGCGCTTCTGGAACTTGCCCCGTCGCCTCCTCAGCCATCTCATTAGCCGACCGAACGCAAGCAAGAAATGATGCTGGCTGACGAAGGACTGACCAGCCAGCGCCCCCGAACCAGTTAAAGTAAGGAAGAGTGTTGTGCGTGTACGTGCTTACCGACGCACTCACTCTTCATTCGTGTTTTGCTTTGTGAATTTGAGCTTCGTACCTCACGCATATGGCCGTTTGTGCTTCGCGTTTGTCTTGTGAATCTGAACTTCATAAATCGCGCGTAATGGCCGTTTGTGCTTTGTAGTTTATTCGATTTAGGCGTGTAAATCGCACTTGTTTGTACATCTTTGTCGGTGATCGTGTCATTTTGTGTTCTCCCTGTGGTCAAACACGGGGGTGGAGTGATGTCACCGACGAAAGTGTTCGGACCAACCCGCGCTACCGCTATGCCGCCGTGATAGCCGGCCGGCCGCCGCGCCGTGCCACCGCGGCGCCGCCGCCGCTCGCTGCAGCCGTCCCGCCGCCGCACCGCCGTCACCCCGTCCAGACTCAGGATGAGTTGTGAGGCATTGTGCAGGGCGGGGCCGCGAGCAGACGCGGCCGGCGGTCGGTACGCGTGCCGCCGACGCTGCCGAGCCGCAGCAGCGCCGTGGCCGCCACCGAGACCGAGATATAAATTAAAGACACGTCGTTTTAAGGCACGTAGGCCGCCAAGCTGGCACCTTCAGCCACCTCCCCGCTGCAGTGCAAGTTCGCACTCGTTTTGCACGCGTCTTAAGCATTGCGTATAAAATGTGGGTCACGTACGACCCCGGCAGAGTCTCACTTCGACCGTCGCGCTGTGCGCACGGACTGATCTGCCCCGCTCGACGCCTCGCCCGGCTGAGCGGGGACAGAGTACAGAAGCACGCGCGCAGACCGACTCTCCTGCGCGCAGCCGCGCCCAGCGGGGCAGTGTCGGTGCTTCAGATTGTACAGCGAAAGTGAATTGTGCTCCGTGTCTGCGTGTTTCATCTACCGGTTTTCTTCACAACTGCTTCCGCTTCTTCTTCGTATACTTCAATAAATCCTCTACGGGAAATCTTCACGTCTATCTACTACTGAAAATCGCCGAATATCAAAAACCCAGGAGCTCACATAGCAGGCGGGCGGGCTACGAATGTCGCACAAACTCACCGAACAAAATACAGTCCACAACTAACCAGAAAAGAACTCCGAACGACAGTTTGTCGGCGACATCTCTCAAGAACCGACAGCTAACGGAACACTGAAGTTTCACTACGACGATTTCCGCCAAAGTTATGAAGAAAAGGCAAGTGCAAGAAGTACAAAACTTCTCTTGGTAATCAAAACTTAGGTTTGGCAAATTCCAAACCCTAAGTCACTACAACTGTGGGTATAAATAAGCTGGTTATTGACGGCCAAGCTCTGGCCAATCTGAGGTTCAGACCTATCATCAAGTTCATGAGGCAGCTGCGGTTGGGTGGCTCACGGGCTCCACTGCATAGGCTCAGACAGGTACTCTACAAAATGTCTTCTGTGTTCTTAGGTTCAGATCTATCGATAGGTATGTGCATGCTTCTGATTCGATTGATAACTGTAAACGGGCGCTGGAAGTGAAAGGTTCGCTTGATATACGAAAGGTGCATTGCAAGAAAGCACATTATTTCATAAATACACTTTCATTTTATCTTGAGCGTTTTTGGAATGGGCCGGATGAATTCGTCATCAAACTGGTAAGGGATTTCGTTTGAAGACCAACGATATTTAATATTATGATGGTCTTCAAACGAATTTGCTGGCAAATTCGATGACTGGATTGGGCGGCGTAGGATCTGCTGGTCAACTGACTATGGGTTGATTAGGGCCTAGTTGGGCCCCTAGTTTTGACCTAGTTTGAGCTTCATTCGTTAAGTAGGAACAAGACGATGCTTCTTTTGAACATAGTCACTAAACAAACCGCCCTCGTTTTGACATTGTTTTTCGTTATTATTGTTACTAGGTACTTTGTTATCATACACAGCATTAACGAGGACCTGCTTCCAAAACAAGGCAGAAACGCTCCAGATATTTTTGGGACGTGGTAAAAACTAACCGACACCTGGTAACTGTCATCTGACAAACACAAAACAAGCCAGGGGCTCGCAGCGTGTGTCAAAAGTAGGATGCAAAACTAGTCTGTACCCCCGACATTTAGCGTTGAGAATCATTTGACGAGGGGCTAGTCAATATTTTTTACAGTGTACGAGAACTCGAGCCAGAAAGAAAGAACTTACGAGTATCTTTGCTTAGCGGTACAATATTTGATGTGATTTTCAAAAGTTATAGAACCAACATGACATATTTTGCTGACAATTTGTCCTTGGCTTGCGCGTCTGCTTTTGATGTGTCGAATTTTCACCAGTCTTCCATAAGCCAAGCAAATATTTCATAAACTTCTCTGATAAGCAGCTTCTGAAAATTCTAATATATATCCATTTTCGCATATAACACGCAGAAGCTTATCTAATCACCAACTGTTCTCACTTCAATCTTCATAAGATATACCATTTTTACCTAATATTTTTCTCCAAGTATTGGTGCTTGTGTACCTACTATTTATAAATCGTGGTTTAATGGCATGATACTTGGCTTTTAAGGGTGTTGACTCAGTCAATTAAAAAGAAGCACATATCTTCAACTCATGTTCAAACTCCTACAATAAAAATAGTGGACTACCTACAACCAAATTCCCAGAGCTGGGCAAGTGCGTTCCTTTAGTGCGTTCCTGCGTTCTTCCGTACGTACGCACCGCCCTTTTTAGGAACGCAAGAACGCAGGAACGCAAAGTTTTTCAAAGGAACGCAAGTAAGAGGAACGCACCACCCGAAATTTTGAAGCGTTCCTGCGTTCTTGCGGAACCACCCGAAAAATTATATTGCTGCCAATGACCTCTGTGTCAAATGTTTGAATCTCGAGTACGTGTGTTTGCCGGTAGAGGCGCCACTTGTCGATCGAATCGAGGAAGGCTTGCTTAGATTTAGTGGTGATGTTTACTATTCGATTCGGTTTCAGGCATTAAATGCGTAAAGATTTTTAGTGGTGATGTTTACTATTCGATTCAGTTTCAGGCATTAAATGTGTAAAGTAAATATGATAACTTTTACTAAGATACATCTTTTAACTTAACTTATTGTTTTTAAGCAGGTCGTATTTTTGTTGAAAACCCTACGGATGATATTGGTAAAACGTATTTCAGATATTCGATTCGGAAAAGAAATGTCGAGTTGCTTTTCGGCCCCACGTCGCCATTCTGGGTATTCTGTGATCGATTCGCCCCGTGTTTGGTTGGGCCCGCGCCGCGTGGTTCGGCGGTATTTTTGAGGGAGGAACGCAGGAACGCAGGAACGCTAACGCACCGAACGAAAAAAAAATTGAGGAACGCTATTCCAGGAACGCACTAACCGCGGCCGGAGGAACGCAGGAACGCTAACGCACTACCGAAAATCGAGGAACGCGCCCAGCTCTGCAAATTCCAAACTTGCTGCTTTTTTAGCGAGCGTCTTCCTATCGTCTTCCCAAAATACCGACACCCAAAAGCGACTTGCCACAAAACCTTTCAAATGAATTCCGATGCATTGAAACACCTAACGCCGAGTGTTTTTTGATTTCAGAAGCCAGACTCGTGGTACGTGGCATTGGCTGATGAGGCGGTGGCCATCCTTCGCTACGACGGCCTCCTGCGTCCACTGGCAGAGCGAGTTAGGGAGCTGGTCAGGGCTCGGATGCCTGCTACCTGAGCGCCACCTACATCCAGAGTGCGCGACCCGCGCGCTACCTGTGCTCGAGCCTCGAAGCTGCTGGCCTGTTGTCCACTACCTGATGCGGCTCACTGTCGCTGAGTGTCGTGTATGTCTTTGTCGAAAAAAACGGCTGTCACGTTTTTGCAGTCCAGTGGCTGCCTTCAAATAAAATAAGGTTAGATGATTATTATCACGCCATAGCACATTATTTGTAACTTTCCAGGAAAGTCTTCATGCATGACAACCAGATAGGCAGCTTTTTTACTGATGAGTCTTGTGCCGAACTGCCTAAAATTGATATGAAGGTAGAAGTGAACCCATGATGATAGGATACGGCTAGATGGATACATCAGTTGTTATCTGCGAGTACCTCTTGTTTTGTATTTTGAAACGAGTGATCTAATATCACTTGGTTTATGTGCTGGAACTTATCACATACACAATACCTTTATCGAGCGAAAACTTGATATAGAAATCAATACCGGTAAGAATACGACTGATTAACAATGTGTTGGGTCGAGTTTTAACCCGCGCGGGGCTGGGGTCTCCAGCCGAACGCGCGGGGCTGGGGGGGGGGGTAAATTTCCCCCCCCTGTTATCTCCCGAACTAACGGTCCGATTTGGAAAATTCAAACGCCAATCGAAAGCTCTCATCACGAACTACTAAAAACATGTACTTAATTTAAAGTTTGAGGTCAAGGTCAAGGTCAGGTCAAGGGTACAAATTGCAAGTTTCTACAGTATCGGCCTTGCACCGTAGTTGCCGAAGAATGGAGTCATGGACTGAGACTGATCGCCCAAAACGTGTTCTTAGGCTACCAAGACAATATTCGTTGCATACAATATCATTCAGAGGTCAAGGTCAAGGTCAGGTCAGGTCAGGTCAGGTCACCAAAAAACAAAATATAGAAAAGGGCATGTGCGACACATGTTTTATGGGTCATTTTACTCATATAATTCAATAGGCACACTCAATAAGTGATATGGACCACCTCTGGATGAATTTCAGGTCGAGGTCAGGTCAAGGTCAGGTCAAGTGAGGTCAAATTTTGAAGTTGGTTGTTAAGGCCTAAAAAGGTGTCTATCTGATGCAGTTTTTCACGGCGAATCGAATGGTGCTATTTTTGTTTCCGTACGAGGTCTAGAACTTCCAAAAAAGTCATTTTTCAAAAATTTTGTGTGTCGTGACGTCATAAAATTTTGAATAACTCCCACATTTTTGAACCGATTCTTCTAAAATTTGGTATGTAGGTGCACATAGACCATTTCTCTGACATATATTCCGGTTTTTTCGATACTCTCAAAATTTTGGATTTTATAATGATTTTCCCAAAAAAGTCAGTTTTTTGAGAAAAAAAATTTAGGCCAAAATCCAAAATTTTCAAAAAAACGAGATAGCCATTTGATAGACAAAGTAAAATTACGTATAACCTTTTTTGTTACGTCTTGATTCCTTTGAAAATGAAGATGTTAGCGGCGTTTGAACTTTTGCCGTTTTTGAGGCGAAAATGACGAACATGACGTCACTAAAACGTCAATTTCTCAAAAAATTTCCGACGGATTTCGCTCAAATTTTCAGGGAACGTGTCAAATTGATGTAAGAAAAGGTACTGAAAGTTTGGCGGCGCTGCGCGCCGCCGTTTTTGAGATATCGCAAAAATTCGCGAGGGGGGGGGGGGTAAAATTTCCCCCCCCCCCAGCCCCGCGCGGGTTAAATCATATTGCCGACTCAAAGTCTCAGTGCCAAGTGCCTCAAAGTTTTCGATGTAAACACCAAACAGTTTGTGTTAGCTGTTAGTTCTTTTGTTTTGATCTACCATGTCGGATGCCTTAGCACGAATGTTTGATCAACGATCATATTAATGTTTAACCCGCGCACCGACTGGGGTCTGCGCCAACTTCGTACCGACGGGGGGGGGGAGGGCGGATGACCGCCCCCCCCCCTGAGATCTCGAGAACGAAGCAAGATAGCGACAAGCGGTAAACGGCAAGGGATACGCACGGACAAGGTCTACAATTTTTACAAAGGTCATTTTCAGGTCAGGTCAAAGATGACGTCACAGGGGTCAAAAAAAGTTAAAATGGCGGCGCTAGGTATAGGGAGAGTTTTTCTCGAATAACTTTCGAACTAGTCAACATAGGAACAAACTAAGGGCATCATCGTGATCCTCTCGTTAATCCGCATCGAAGGATATATATGTTGACCTCGAAAGGTCAAGGTCAAAGGTTGACCTCAGGTCACGTGACCTCGAGGTCATCATGTATATCATTCGATGCGCCTTGACGATCTGAACACAATGAGACCATCCGCGCGGCTGTATCTTGTTCCTGTACGGAGTTATTGTCAAAAAACCGCTGGTGACCTTTGATGACGTCACATGACCTTACATCTACTCAACAGTAAAACAGACCTCAAGGTAAAGAAGGTTGATCATATATGAGGTCATGTATGGTTTATGGGGCCATTCCGACCCGTTTTAGTGGTAAAAACAGGGAGTTGATTTTTCCCCCATTGACTTATAATGGGGGGGGGGGGGTCGAGATATTGACCTGACCTTAGGTCATCGATATCAAAATTCCGAGATATACAAATTGTAGCTACTAATGACCTTTTAACATCCTGCGACTTTCAAAGGCCTCCGACATCTACTGTAACTCTGGCACGGTGACAAAGTTGCAAAAAAGTAACTTGAGGTTGGGTCATTCAAAGTAACCTGGTGACCTTACCTTAAAAGTTAGGAGGTTCAAACTTGCACACCATGTGTAAAATTGATGAGAGAATAGTCGTACCCAATTTCGCGGCGCGTAGCGCCTCGGTTTTCCCGCTATTCGCGAAAAACCTCAGGGGGTGGATATCCGCCCCCCCCCCCGTCGGTGCGCGTATTAACCCTATTCCTGGCGGGCTCCGCCGCACACTGGGCCGATCGCCAGGTCTAGCACGACATGGGTACAAAAATCGAACTTTGTGGATGTGCAATGAAACCTATACCAATTTGTTCAAAAATGATCATACTACATTGCTGTGGTCTTTGTTTTCCAACACAATTGCTATTTCATGGCGAAAACTCAGCTTAAACACGAACTTCGGAATCGTTTGGACCGAACTCGTCCCCCGCACTCTTCGACAACGTATCTTTGATCCACGAAAACAATCACAATTTGAAGAGGAATTCCACATTTATATACATCAAACGATAGCTCCGGGTCTGCAGAACACACATAACCACATGAAAATGGCGAACTCTTACTTGGTTATGATGTATTGGCACCGCAAAGATTTAAAGACGAAAATATAATTTCACATAATTGATGTCACACACAAATAGACTTTTAAAAAAAGTACCGCGGAGTACCGCTTCGAAAATCTCGCTGCATGTCAATGAATCATTGCACTACAAGATCCAACAGTCATTTTTTGCGACTTTTTGCGACTTTGGATGTAGCAGCCAAACATCAACCCGCGCCGGACCGGTGCTCGGCGTCAAACGCGCCGGGCCGGGAGATGTTGATTGAACACTCCCCCTCTAACTTGGCTCTTGGGCCACATAGCGACACGTAGTAAGTGGCATTCGAAAGAGCGCCCGAAATTCCAGATGGAGTTATTAGTCATTTCTAGGTCAGGTCAAAGGTCACGTCACCAGAGGTCATCAAAGGTAAAATGTTGCATATATCAACATTTCTCGAAAACCGGCCCTTACCTCGGGGACCAATAGAGCTACATCGTCGCAGAAAAGTGCATTCAATTGCTCTTTTAGCGGTCTTTCTTAAATAAGCCCTCAGATTTGGCTTAACCCTCGCCCCTAGTGGTGTTTTTCCAGTCGCGAACGTATAGAAGAGGTCCGTTGGACCCCCCCCCCCCCCCGCCGTTTCGCCCCTGATCGAGCTAGAGCTTCGCGGAAAAGACGAGCGTGTTGCCCGTGACAAGAGGAAGCTGATGATACCCAATTGTAAGGTCCTAGGTCATCGGTTGACCTTCCAGGTCAGGTCAATGACCCAAAAGTCGGGAAAATCGGGACCTGTTAAAACGTCGTAAAGGGCATGGCTGCTATGGGTTTTTTGGGTGCTGATCACGAATATGATGTTATTTACGATCATAATGATGTCTTCATACATTTAGGCCAGGTCGGGTCAGGTCAGGTCAGGTCAACCAGTAAGGGTTTTGCCGGGTATTTGCAGTAGGTGGCAACCGCCTCTGACAGCTTTGTAACATGTTACGAAGGCACCGAAGCTACATAGTAAATGTTCAAATGGTTGCTAGATTCGAATTCAGCTCCAAAAACTAGCCTAGAAACATGTAAAACTCGAAAAAGTGAAACAAGGTCATTAAAGGTCAATAACCTTACCTGACCTTCTGGTGACCTTGACACCCACCCTAATGCATGGGAGCAACATAATATCCCATGTTTGAACGCTTTAAACCAAGAAAAGACTGCAAACCCGCGGCTAATGCGAGCCGACATACGCTGAATCGCGATTCCGGCCAAACATGGTCTCGAAAGAAGGTCATAGGTCAAAGATCATTAAGGTCAGGGTCATGAAATTTTCAGGTTAGCTGTAAAAGTAGTTATCGCGAGGGTACTGAAAGTTTCGTTGTGATCGGCCGCTTTTTACGCGAATTACTCGCGAAAAACCAAGGGTTCCGTTCGAAGATTCAGGCCCCGTCGCGCTAGAATGGCATATCGGCCCACTGTGCGCCGGGACAAGAAACTGGCGGGGGGGGCCGATTCGGCCCCCCCCCCCTGAGATCTCGAGAACGAAGCAAGATAGCGACAAGCGGTAAACGGCATCGGATACGCACGGCCAAGATCTACAATTTTTACAAAGGTCATTTTCAGGTCAGGTCAAAGATGACGTCACAGGGGTCGAAAAAGTCAAAATGGCGGTACTAGATATGGAGAGAGTTTTTCTCGAATAACTTTCGAATTAGTCAAGATAGGAACAAACTAAGGGCATCATCGTGATCCTCTCGTCAATCCGCATCGAATGATATATATGTTGACCTCGAAAGGTCAAGGTCAAAGGTTGACCTCAGGTCACGTGACCTCGAGGTCATCATGTATATCATTCGATGCGTCTTGACGAGCTGAACACAATGAGACCATCCACGCGTCTGTATCTTGTTCCTGTACGGAGTTATTGGCCAAAAACCTTTGGTGACCTTTGATGACGTCACATGACCTCACAGCTGCCCAACAGCAAAACAGACCTCAAGGTAGTGAAGGTTGATCGTATATGAAGTCATGTATGGTATATGGGGCCATTCCGACCCGTTTTAGTGGTAAAAACAGGGAGTTGATTTTTCCCCCATTGACTTATAATGGGGAGGTCGCGAAATTGACCTGACCTTAGGTCACCGATATCAAAATTCCGAGATATACAAATTGCACATACTGGTACCCTAACTAAACCCTGAAGAGAAGAAATTGATCGGTCAAAAACTCTAGCTCTGGCGTGATTGCAAACTTTTCTGAGGTAGCGTCACCAAACCGCC